TGGGCTGGCGACGGTGGAGTCGCCGTTACATGGAAGGCAGAAGAAACGCGAGAGAAAGAAAGAAAGAGAAGGAATGGGCTGAGGTATCCGCCCGGTGGACCCGAGTGGCCGTCACCGTGGGCCCGAGAGGCTAGACCAGGATGCACAAGAAAAGATGCCAGTGGAAATGCCGCGAATCTTCCGGGATGAGGATCGACAGGCGAAACGTCCGTTTAGGTGTCACGGGGTGGTGGCACGCAGGGCAGCGCCCGCTTGGTCTGCAGCATGCATGACGCTATCGGGAGCGGTGCCGCGTCGAGTCGCAGCCGTGACCGTGGCAATGGGTACGTCCGAAACGAGGGAAAAGGGAGACGGGGGATGACACAGGGCCTGATTCAGGATTGGGCAGAAAAACAGAGAAAGAAAGAAGAAAACAGAGAGCAATGAGCTAACACGGACTGTATCGATCAAAGGCATTCATTATTTATTCGTTCTTCCGTCCTCGATTATAGCAATACGGAGTACATAGTTTGATGGACCGTGGGCCATGGCCAAGACGATCGCAGCCGATCGCAGCTCGATCAGGAAGAGATCAGCCTCCAGCCAGGGCGGCCATTGCGTGGCGGCGCTGCTCTATCGAAGAATCCGGGGATGGGGACCGTGTTTCGATTTGCGAATGACGGTTGGAGCCAACATAGCATGACCATGGCCTTAATTCTGCCAACGTCGGTGAGCAGGCTGTCAGGATGTATGTACGGAGTACATATTACTTCATCGGATTTTTATAAACTGTAGATGTTTCACAATCTGTCAATAATCGTAATAGTAACAGCTAATGCGGTATCGATGTTGTTGTGGTCCTAGAGACTGGAGCTAAGCTAGCCGGCGATCGTCCGTGTCAAAGCTGCTTAGTAATCACGGTTGGAACAAAGTCTCGACCAACAAGATTCTTCCAACTACTCCGTACCTCTACTGAACTCTTCCATCGTGCATTCTTCAGGCATTTTTCCTACTCCGTAGGAATAAGATAAGGATAATAGCAACAATAATATAACTATACTCTACATCCATATCTATAATCCGCGACTTCATAAATACTACCGTACGGAGTACCTACCCTGGAGAAACCGTATCGAGGCACCTAGTAGAATGCCTGAGTCTGACCCACCACCCGTCATCCACCTACCTAGATTCCAACCCTCATGCTTGGCTTGGCATACCAAGAAAGAGAATGGGTCTGGGAGAAATGCTCCGTAGACACTGTAGTATTCTTACATAACTTTTTCTCACCTACGTAGTAGAAGTAGTAGTGGTAGTAGTAGTAGGTAGGCATTTCGGAACATATCCGAGTAATTAAATCTCGATTAGGTAGTTAGTCAAAGTGCAATCTGGCCTTTTCTCACCAATGATTCCAACGATTGATCGGGTCTGCGTTTGTCCCTGGTTTGGCAAGCCGCAATATTACTACGACAAAGAGTGGTTTTTTTTTTGGAAGGATCACAACATAAAAAGAAAATCATAAAATGGTACTGTCTCTACCTTGGCTATGGAGTAATAGTCCATACTGCCATGCCAACCCTGTATGTAGAAACTACATAAATGCAGGGAAGGCTATCAGAACCCGCATGCTTATGATCAATCATATTCTTATCTATCTATCAGACTCGCATATTATTACTGTGGCGTACTTATTATTATTATTGTTATTCTCAATTTATTCCATGATGATTCAGTATGCATTGTGTGTTACACACGCATGTATGTGTGGATGTACACTGCCGTCGACAAAGTAGGCTACTGCAGGTATCACTATCACTATCACCTACTTACTCGTTAATACCGAGTGATGCGAGAATTCATTTTTTTTAAGTTTAACGTAATCCACCACCGAGCTGGTCAGTCCTCGGCCAAGAGTTGCAGCCCAACGCGGAAAATCTTGAAGATTATTGCAACAAAATCTATTATATTTTCCTATATAAAAGAAAAGGCACTATTTATTAGGACATTTAAGCCGATTATGGCCTTCTTGATTGCAATTACTGCACCTTGGTGGTCTCCGTGGTCGTCGAGATGATTCCTGCAGTTGCTCATGCTCTTGAGTCTTTTTTTTCCCTTCAGTACCTGTCAAGCTTCCCCCTGCTTGAATAAAATATCTAGATGCTTGTCGTCTTTTCTTTTTTGGCGTTTGGTTTTCTGCGCGAAGCTGATGAATCTCTTGCTGCAATAGGACAGCATTCTG